TTGAATATGCAAATCCAGGAGCAGCGCGGCTCATGATCTGGAATTCATTTAGTCCTGCGTCACCTTGCAGTCACGCTGTGTCTGTGGATGAAAGACAACTCCGATCAAAGAGACACAGGAACTGGGGGGAAATAAAGGGGAAGAGGGCATCATTCACAGTTGGATGTTCCTGTGGCACATCATCTTTTACTTGTCATTGCATCACCTCGCTGTCAGGGCTGCTCTGCACCTCAGATATTAGTTCATGTGAAGATGTACTTCCTGCAGCCTCTGTTATTCAGGCATGATGATTCAAGGTGGTGCATTAAGGCAATTAAAGTTCAGAAAAGTTGGTATGTGGTGGAGAAGTTAGGCCCTGTTATAATTGAGGACTTGAGGTGGATTTATACTTGAGTGTCAGCTCTTTGCACATGGTCTAAGCTGTTGTGAGCATTTATACTTGTACAGTGATGTGTCTGCAGTTACACCTCCAAAACACCGGTCAACGGTGGAGGTTTCTGTGAAGTGCTGTAAAGTTTAGTTGATTCAAAACACACAAGTACACAAATCAGCTTCACTATAACTCGCAGCATTCACAGACAAACATTTGTCTTTATCTGGACACATTTTCCCCACAAATACAACATGCTAATGATTTTAGCACAAGCCTATGGGATTTTACATTGTATAAATTAGCTTAGTGGCTAGCGGACTTTTTCTCTACTCATATGAAACCAGGGACAACAGCAACATTTAACAAAGGTAACCTTACAGAATTCGGCTCCATTACAGCTCACAAGATTCACTGACAAAACAACTGTCTTATACTAAACACGTTTTCCAAACAAATATAAGATGCTAACATTATTAGCCTACGACATTTTACATGGTTGTAGGCTAGAGGTTAGAAACTCCACGGGCCTTTGAACACTACCTCATTTTATCAGCCTTGCTCTCAAATTTAGTGAATGGACTTGCACTTGTATAGCGTCCTTCAAGTCTTTGGACCACTCAAAGCACGTTTATATTAAAGAGTCATATTCACACATTCACACAGATACTTTCACATGCCAACTTGATGAGCCGGGAATTAAACCACAGATTTTTCTTATGGAGGAAAACTTTCTTTATCTCCTGAGCCACAGCCACCCCAACTTGTGGCAAACATTGTTGGACTTTTGCCAGCATCCTCCAACGCCCCTCAACTAAACTCCTGTTTTCTGGAAGACTGAAATGCTCACCCACACTTCAGCTCATACACTTCAGGTGCTTCTCAAAATCAAGGAAGGATCCTTAACGGCTGAATTTGAAGGAGGCTACATCATTGAATGCTGTCGGAGGACTGTTCCAATGTCAAGGATCCTTCAGATTCTACTGCTGACAGAGTCCTTCCTTTAGAGAATTTTCAAGGATGAATGTGTGTATCCACAGTGGGCATGAAGTACCCACAGTTCTTTGTGTACGATTTGCCGATGGACCTCGTCAGAATTTTGATAAATATGTCATTTATTGAGAATAATATCTCCAGGAGCTTGAAAGCATGAAAAAAAAATATTAGAAACCTTATAATTTACACTTTCCAATATGTCCACTGCCAAGTAACATGATTTTTTTTTTCTCTAAATAAAGTGATTTTGATAAAACAGATACGTTTTTAAATTAATCAGTCATAGCAGAAATGGAGCACTAAGTATCCAACCACACTATTCACATAATTACAACATGATAACTGCTCTTGTTCTTTTGGTTTCAATTGGTGTATTCTTTGGGGGAAGCGCAGTCAAGACACTTTTCGTCCCCATGGAAACAATCCTTAGTAAGCACAACACCAGACCTGTTTAAATCATTGACAAAAACAAGACGTTGGTTGCAATGCAGAGATCTGAAACCAGGTTATACTTCAATAAAATAGTTTCTCTGTCAAATCCTGATTTTAAAAAAAAACTGTCTTGCACACACACATTGTGCTTCAGTGTTTCACATTAGTTGCACTTTGTTTTGGAGCAGTGTGTGTTTGTGTTTGTCTCCTTAAGAAGATTGGTGTGTGCTGTGATGGGAGTGGAGGGGCTGCTAGGACATCTGGCTAACTGACTGTAAGCTGCTGTAGTACTCCCCATTAAGAGTCATTAAGACCCCAATTATAGTTACCACCCCCCAGTTCACACACAACACAGAGTCACACACACACACTAGGGGTCTGCAGTTAGGTACGGCCAGTTTGAGAGTGTGCAGCCGAGAAAGCCTGTGTTTTAAAGTGTTTCCTCTTCATCAGTGTTATATTTGAATTGATTTAAGTTTATTTGGTTGTTTTTTTTAATATTGTCAAAAACATCCCTCCCTGTTTATTTAAATGAGTCTGCTGTGTTGAGGTAGTGGGAGTCCTGACTCTGAAAAAAAAAAAATGCAGGGTCAAACCTGGCTCATCCTTTGCCACAAAGCAATACAACATCATCCAGCAACACACAGCTGTGGCCAATCAAATATGTGCACATTTTGGCATAATCCCTCTGTTTAATTGTCCAGGCAGAGGATAAAATGATGTTGCTGCTGCTGGAACAACTTTTCAGAGTTGTAAAATTTTTGATAATAAACCTATGAGCAGTGTTTTGGTGTCTGATAAGCAGCACTGCAAACTGGACCATCTGGACTGTGTCACACCAGTGTAGCACCTTTCTTATAACCCAGAACCGCTCTCAGTCCTCTGGCTTTTAAACCAAAATGAATAAATTTGGATATTCCCAAAATAAAATGAAACACACCAGCTACACACACACAAACAGGGTCATGCCAGAAGAGAAACCTTTCAAGGTTGGCTGTGAAAGACTCAGAAAAACTCTGAACAGCAGGGGGTTGAACTCAGTGAAAAATGAAAAATTTAGACTGCAGTTGTGCATGAGAAACTCCTTTTTTGCAGCAGCAGTGTGATAAATAATCCAGCTCTGTAATAACTCTGCTGTATATCTGGTAATGTAAAGGTTCAGAGTGTAGGATTAAAGGGATATATTGGCATAAATGGAATGTAATGGGATAAGTATGTTTTCTTAAGTGCAGTGGTTCCCAACTGGTCCAGCCATGGGATCCATCTACAGTCATTAGTAAACGGTCCACACAGTTTAATATATTCAGTGTTATACTTGCATTTGTCCATGCTGTTAGTCACTCAGTACGTTAACATGCACAGTTAAGTCGAGCTACGAGTATAGCTTGACTAGGACATTTAATTGGACTGCTGTCCCAGTGTACAAGCACGGGAGGGGAATCAATTAATTAACCAAAGAATGTCTGACTCCGCTACGATAGGTGGTGATATGCCCCTCTCAGCTTGTTGGACCTTTTTCCAGTTCACCTATTATGTCACAGGCTGAATAATCGACAAACAAGTTAGCTATGATTAGCTAGCGGCAAACTGGTACCATGGTGGACAAATTTACAGCTGTGTACATTTCGTCCTGGATGTAGATTTCACCATGTTGTTACCAGCCTTCGACTTCTGGGTCAAAGCCTGGGGTGGAAACTGTGGGGCACTGGCCAGTTTGGGTCCAATTGACTGTATACATGTTGGAGTAAATCGACTCCTAATCGCATTATCTGTGTGTGTTAGTCCGACTTTCAGAAATTCAACTTAGTATGATTTCAGCCGGACTAACTGTATTTTAGAAGTCCGGTTTTAGTTGGACTAACACAATAAATTGGTTTTCTCTAATGTCAAGTAAACGTACTGACTCACACCTGCGACTCAATTTTAGATTGTGACTGACCTGACCAGTTGAGAACCACTGCTTGAATAAACCATTTATATCTACAAGAGAGTGGATCCACAGAGATCGCCATGTTGCACCGCAGTGTTTCTACAGTAGCCTAGAACAGACAAACCAAACACTGGCTCTAGCTAGGGCCATTCATTTTCTTGTATTGGCCACTGTAGTTAGCAGCCCCTCTGCAATGAGCATTGTTGGAAGACCACCAGATTTTTTAATGTGAAATTGCTTTAGTCAGTGTTTTTACTGGTTTCAATCACGTGGTCCGTTTTTGATAATTCAGCTTCCGGTTAAAACACTGAAGGAATTCTAACCGGGAGACATTTCAGCTGATTGCAATGTGCAGTCCTCACCACTAGATGCCACTAAATCTCCTTAAATCTTACACACTGTTCCTTTAAATAGGCTTATTTCAAGTGTTCATGCAAATGTCTCCATAAGTATGTGTTTTTGCTTGTTAAACAGTGAATTTATGAAACTCACTTGTAAAGTTGCTTAACAAAGGAAGATGGGAATTTTTCTTTCTGCTATTGTTAGCTGTTGTGTTACTTTTTGGGGTGGTGCGGTTGATTTATCTGGTGACCCCCCGTATACACCCACAGAGAGAAACACACTCTTGTACGGGCGTTTACACAGTCAGACATCATCACATCCCATCTGAAGACAGTCTGCTCCTACACACTACACACTACACACACACACACACACACACACTGCACACACCTCTAGCCAGAAAACACACACGCACACACAGCTGGAAGGCTTTCTATCATGGAGAGATAACTACAGGCTGAGAACAATAGACCATCTCTTCTCCCATCTGGTGAAGTGGGGGATGAAACTTCATTTACATTTCAGATCCCACCACCTCAGGGCCTGTGTGCGGATATGTGTGTGTGTGTGTGTGTGTGTGTGTGTGGGCAGGAAAGGGGGAGATTCATTTCAGGGTGAATTTAGGATTATGAATTAACACGCCACCGTGCTGAAAGACTTCATTTACAGCTAATTGAGTGTATTGGCTCATTGAAATGGGTGTTGTGTTAAAACTGGTCTGCCTGCCTGGCCCCTGGGCTGTGTGTGTGTGTGTGTGTGTGTGTGTGTGTGTGTGTGTGTGTCTGTGTATGTGTTTGGGTCTGGGTCTGGAGAGAGTCAGGGGTGGTTACCTGTATATTAGTGAACAGCTGTAGTTTAGATGTGTGAAATTAGATGTTGAAATTATAATAAAAAGTGACACCCTTTCCTCTCTGTCTCTGTCTCTCTCAGGTGAGAAGCCCTATAAGTGCTCATGGGAGGGCTGCGAATGGCGTTTTGCCCGCAGTGACGAGTTGACGCGACACTACCGCAAACACACTGGAGCGAAGCCATTCAAGTGCAACCACTGCGACAGGTAAACACACACACACACAGGCATGGGTTGTACACATACACCATGACAGCTATACATATAAAGGACGCTGACGCATTTTATCTACAAAGGACCTCTGTTTAGCCTGCATTTCCAATGAAAGCAGAACTCAGCCAGCCAGTGCATCACATATTTGGGTAGTTTTGGTCAACATTAGAGCTGCAGCTAATAATTATAACTGTCAATACACCTTTTTCACAGAAAAACATTTGGACACAGCACAGCAGGGAAAGCTCCACTGTGAATAATAAAATTAACAATGGCTGAATTTCATTGAGCTGCTTCAGTTTCAGGGTCCTGGTGTTGTGCATGCAGGTGCACTGTCACCACTGTCATAACATACTGGGACGCTGAGATGAAACAAAGCCATTGTTAATGTTATCAGCAGCACCTGTGCTTTTTCTGACAGGTCAAAATGTCTGCTGTGAAAAAACTTTTATCGATTTATCAGTTACATTTTTTCAAATCTTAAAAAATGCCAGAAAATAGTAAAAGATGCATCCCGAGGTGATGTCTTCAAATTTCTTGTTTTGTTCAACCAACAGTCCAAAACAAAGAGATGCTCTGATGACAATAAAACTAGAGAAGCGGCATGTTGTAAAATTTGGAAGCAATAGCTAGCCAGCAAGCTTGCCACCCCGCAGTCTCTGCACCCCTCCACGCTGCTAGAAGACTGTGTGCCAGAAGGAGAGTGGGTGGAAGCTCCAGAGACGGACTCAGTAGTGGTTGTGGCAACTCGAATTCAGTTGGCGCAAACCCCAGCAAAGGGGTTCGCAGTGGGCTGGGTCCAATCCGTGCAACGGCAGCAACAGAAAGTTTGTTGATTTGATGGGGAGTTGGTGCTCTGCTGGCTGAATTCATGTTGCTATTCCAGCAGCTGGAGGCAGAGTCCTGCACCAGGTCGGATACCCACAGATACCCAACTGGTAACCCGCCAAATGCTGTGTAATGGGTAAAAATATATGTACATAAATAGGCACGGATAAAAATAAACTACACATGGGCAGGCAGCAGGTGAGAACAAAAATACATTTTATTATTTTTCAGGATAAAACAAATGAAAAAATTATGTGCAAGCCACAGTTCCTTTTATTTTGAAAGTCAATGACACAAGTCAAACCTTTGACCCCGTCGTCACATTCCTCACCAACGTGGAGGACTCCAGCCATGAAACTTTGCAGCCCGAGGATGAGTCTACATTGAGTTCAAGACACCCAAGGAGGATCCTTTTATAGGTTAAATGGTGGTGGAAGGAGCATGCTAAAATGTTTCCTTGACTGGCAGTGAATGTTTTCACCATCCTGGCATTAAGTGCAGTTGGTGAAAGAGATTTCCCCTCTGCTGAATTTGTATTTCAAGAACGGAAAACCCAGCTTAATGTGAATGACTCTAGCCTATATGTGTGTTTAATCACGAGGCAGGTTGGGTCGCAAGACTTTTAATAACAGGTGCAGGTGGCTGCGGCTTTTACTTTGACAAAATGACAGGTAACGGGTCGGTTCTGGTACTGAGCTTTACAGGTATGGCCGGTTGTAGGTTTTCAAAAAATGGATCCGTGCAGGACTCCGGCTAAAGGTGCGTGTCCTTATTTATGTTGTGATAGTATCAAATCAGAAAATAAGTATATCGTTCCAGCCCTTATTTTTAGGTGTGTACAATACAACAAAAATAAGATGACTCGTGCATCTCTGATAGAGCTAGGGTAACTGTTCCCTCCTGCTTACAGACTGTGTGCTAAGCTAGGCTAAATACATCACAGAACTGCCTCTGTGTTGAACCCACAGAAAAAAATGATCTGAAATCTGCTGACAAAGACGGATAAGCATATCTATTTTCAAGAAGGACCAGTCTGTAGGATTCTGGTATCTAGCGCTGAGGTTGCAGATTGCAACCAACTGAATACTCCTCCTTTCTAAGCATGTAGGAGAACCTATGGATATCTTTGGAGGAGATCTCCGTTCATTCCTGACAGCTCTGACAGCAAGAGGTAAAAACAAAATCCCCCTCCAGTTACAACCATACAGTCTCTACATACAGACTCTATATTCAGTTAATGTAGAGTCTGTAGGCAAACCCCGGAGATCTTGCCTCCAGAAGAAGAGCGGAAGAGCCCTGGTTTCCAGTTGTAGGCTGTTTGTAGTCCGCGTGATATTGACCAATCATGTTTGAGCTGGCTGCAGTTGTTGCCAGGTTAAACAGTCCGTATGGTGAACTAACGAGGCGGAACATAATTGGCGTCACTGCAAACTCTGAATCCATCGCAATGGTTCAGCATATTTACTTACATATAAACAGAAGTCGGAAACGGAAATTCGCCTCTTCCGCCCAAATCAAACCGGAATGCCAAAAAATCGGGGGTCTGCCCCCAGAGGCTGTATCGCCGTCTGCCGGAAGTCAGACGCCGAATACAGCCAATTGGTTTCCGAGAATGCAACCATATTAACTCAAGCCCCTCTCCCATGGAGTACAGCAACAAAAGGGGAGAGGTAAGGTGAGAGACATCCCTTTGTAGGTGGGATACCCCCAAAGGTGAACGTAGGGGCACAGAAACTGAGTATCAAACGCTCCACATATTGACTATGGAGTCCTAAGCGTGTCAGATAATAACAACTGAAACAAATTATGTGTAATTACAATACTTAATATTAGAAATTGACTTTGTTGCACATATTACTGCTGTTACTAATTGCCCCGTTACATTTGTTCATTCTGGGCTACTGTAGAAACATGGTCATGGAAGAAGACCTGCTCCCTGTGTAAATTTAAAAGGGTGATTCCAAGTGATTCTTAGTTTTGGGTGATTTTACACTAATGAAGACATAATGATATTATATTTCTGCTAAGATATCCTTTTAGATCTTATACACTGGTCCTCTGAATCAACAGAGCAATGCAAATGTTTGGGACTGTATAATCACATTTCAACTTTCTTTCTTTCTCTGTACATTTCTTGGAAGCTAATGCATCCAAATCCGTCGGCAGTTTGCACAGAGTTCAGTTAAGTTCAATTCAGTTCAGTTCAGTTCAAGTCTCTTTTCTTATGCACAAAGAAATAAAATTCCTTAAACACTTTTAGAGACAAAATACTGCAAATTAGTGCGTTTGAAGTTAAGACGGGACGTGATCATTTTCTTAAAGACATTTCCCTCCTCCAGCAGCTGTGTACAGGAGCAGCTCAGGTGAGTTCTTATCTGGACTCTTAAAGATAAAGGTTCAAGACTTCAGTCAATTTAATGATAAGGGATGTTATTATCGCAAATTACGTTTTTTTAGCAGCCATAAAAATATATGTAGGACTGATATTAGTTTGTTATTGGCTTATTGGCTTTCAGGTCATGTTATCTGACCAGCAGTGGAAGATTTCACTGATTCTGTGTCAGTGTTTTTTTATCAGTTCCTGTCCGACGCAGTTTAACGTCAGTGATAAACAAAAGACAGAACAAAAATGATGGGGCATGTGTTTGGAAATAAAAGCAAACTAAATCTCCTTGTGGACAAAAGCCAGGGAAATCACATCATCTCTGTTTGGTGTTTGGTCCTCAAGGTAGAGTGTGTGTGTGTGAGTGTGTGTGTGCTTACTCATGCCCCTGTGCTGGCAGTTAAATGGATTCTGGCTATTGGCAGACTGGTCGCAGCTAATTGAGTGGCACCAGATGCCAGCTCCACTTTAACATACACACTCTCTGTTTGTGTGTGTGAGCCTGCACTACCTTTCTGATGAACAACACACACACACACACACACACACACACACACATTTGCCCTGGAGACAGTGTAATTGGCTGTTGTGGGTTCCCTCTAGTTTGGGTTTTAGACATAAAACCCTCCAGAAACCTGCTGGAAGCTTCTAATCCTGGCTGAGAGCTGGGACTGTATTAGCTCCTTCTTGGCAGACACACACACGCTTACACACAAACACAGTGTGTAGAGACACAACATACACAAGCATAAAGAACGCAAAGACATTTTAGATGCAAAGTCACACATGAACATTAAAAGGTCCGGACGGAGCAGCGACACATTTGGCTACACAATGCAAGATTTGTCACTATGAGGCTCTGCGTACTTTAAAGTCTGCAGAGAGTAGTGGGAGAAGTTATTTTGGGCTTCAGAGTTAAATGTTCATTTTCTGTGTTGGTGACTGACAGCTCAAGCGCTGCGAAGGTGTTAGAAAATATCTGCTTTTTTTCATTCAAAGTCACAGAAATAAGCCAGTGTACATAAAAATGTACAGAGACAAGTAAACATCGACTCCCAAGGGGCATTTCAGTAACAAACACCTGAACACAGAGCGTAATTTCTGCAGCGTGTGCCAGCAGCCGTGATCTGAATATAAAGATTATGCTGTGTTTTGTTGCCATTTGCAATAACGAAGCGTTCTGAAAATGTTACAGCTCTAATTTGGCAAAAGCAAGAGCCGCATGGTGATGCAGTGGTTAGCATTGTCTCCTCACAGCAACAGGGTTCCTGGTTTGATCCCCAGGGTGGGGGAGCCCCTCTGTGTGGAGTTTGCATGTTCTCCCTGTGTCAGCGTGGGTTTCCTCCAGGTGCTCCAGCTTCCTCCCACAGTCCAAAGACATGCAGGTTAACTGGTGACTCTAAATTGTCCGTAGGTGTGAATGTGAGTGTGAATGGTTGTCTGTCTCTATGTGTCAGCCCTGTGATAGTCTGGTGACCTGTCCAGGGTGTACCCTGCCTCTCGCCCAATGTCAGCTGGAATAGGCTGCAGCCCCCCTGCGACCCCCAACAGGATAAGCAGTTATGGAAAATGAACGAATTAGTGAGTTTCCGGAAGTCTTTATGGCATCTTCCCTTTATCAATACAGTAGGTTTTCCACAGTGGCCAAGAAGATTTTCACCTGAGCTTCACACTTCAGCCCAGGTTGAAATCTCTCAGCAAGTATTGGATAGATGAACCATGAACTTTGGTGCAGACATTAAAGGGGTAGTGCACCCAAAAGTGAAAATTCAGCCATTATCTA